TTATCCTCCCACGCGTCTGCAAGAACCGGCTAAAGGGTAAGAGGCGTGGAAAGAGAAGCTGGAAGGAGGAGGAATGTACCAGTGACCCGAATACGTCTTGCTTCGGGGTACAATCTGTGAACATCTTTTCCTGGTAATGCTCTATGCGAATTCCTATACCTCCTCCCCTCCTCCACCGCCCCTTCCTCTCACCGTCGCCCACGTTTTTATCCCCCCGTACCTCACCTGGCCGACCCCGGAATGCATTTACGGTTATAATCGCGTAACTCAACGACCATAATTCAGCTCGGACAGCTGTTTGTTATCACGCACCAATCGTTATCGTACGGCGTCTGTGAACCGATGTTCGCAGAAAGGAAAATTAAACGATTAGAAAGATTGGATCGTGCACGGTTACAATTTCAGAATTCCTCGTAGCGAGGACCTCGAACGACACTCTGTTATTATTATCGTATTACTGTAGGATTCGTTACGAGTTACTATGTTTATAAAACACCGACTCAACTGTTAAGTAAACTAAAATGGATAGAGTCCGTTCGACGGTCCGCTCTACGTTTATTCGCGCCGTCTTTACCCATCGACTGCTCAACAAAATCTGTCCTTCCGACGCTTCTTTCTCCACCGCCCCTTAAAGTCAAGCGCCGCCAGGGTGTTTGCCAGGCATGGGAACGTTGTTCCAGGCGGCCTCGCCGTGGCGCGCCTGGACAACATCAGCCCGAGTGGCCGGGTCATAAATTAAACTAAACTAAAGCTACGTTACAATATCCTTATACCTATCCTATAACTAACGCTCTTTCTCTCTCACGCACACGCACACATTCCCATTCCTACATTATTAAGCAGTTCTTGTTTCGAGAACGTCGAGTAACGTTTACACACGTGCATTTCGTCATGGAGAGCCAATCGGACCGTGTGTCCTTTATTGATTCTGCTAACTATTTTCAATCGTTCCCGTTTCTAACTAGACGTGTTCTTTAACCCTTAAGTGGACGACTTTTGTTTCACGTTTTCAAAGTTTTCTTCAAAGTGACATTTGACATTAACTTATTAATATTATTATATATATTATATTTATTATATATTACATATATATTATTATATATAATATAATGCGTAGTATAATATGTAGTATATAATATAGTAACTTATTAATATTATTATATATATTATATTTATTATATATTACATATATATTATTATATATAATAATATATAATGTATAATAAATATCGAATTTTGTACTTTTTCTTAACGTTGGCGCTATCCGATAATTATTATTATATATAATAATAATATAATAATATTATATATTATTTTCAATGCATACAAATATCGGATAGCGCCAACGTTAAGAAAAAGTACAAAATTCGTTGAGAAATAAGAACTAGTTGTCAAAGTTAAGAAAAAATTAAAAGAAGGTCAATTTCATCTGTGATTATTTAGTATGTTGTTTAAAAACAACATCGTCCATTCAAGGGTGAAAATTGTCTCCATCGAAACTGGCCGGAATATGAATTCGAATTCGAAGAGCGTTCGAACGACTGTTTGCGTGGACTCGAATGTGGAATTTCGATCGCAACGGTCCCCGTGTATTTTTAAAGTCGCGACGAGCCCCGAAAGCGAAGAAATCTTAACGTTTAGTAATCTGGCACGTTTCCTGGGAGGATCTGTCCGCGGTCGTGTCGCTTTAAAGTGCTCCGAGGGCTTTGTTCTGCCTGTCGAGTTCCATGACGACCCCGATATCTTAAAAACAGTTCATTATCGAGGAAAGGCTTGTCCTGTCATCGATGAAACGACGCCGCGCTTGAAATTAGCCAAGATGGCCGCCTTCGATCCTTCGTGGCTCTGTGGATCCCTGGGCCGCGTCGCGCTGAAACAAAAAATTAATATTAATTAATATTAATTAATAAAATGCTGTTAATTAATGCAGGCATATGTCGTATTTACTCTCGTTATTTTTTCATTCTTTCAGGATTCCACCGAAAGCGATCGAGTATCGATCTACTGATTCCATTATGGTACATGTCAACGGCTACTGTTCAAAATATCATTAACAATTTACTGATTAACGGACAGAGTCAAGTTTCCAACGTTTTCAGCTGTCGATTAATTAATTAAAAGCATCGAGTTGTTTCTCTGTAGTTTGTATTAATTTTCTCCTGTCTCCTTATCAAATTTCAACCATTCAACCGAGAGGTTTGATATCGATCTACAGATTCCTAATTATTCCCAATTATTTTTAACATCCAAAACCGTAGTACAGAAACAGCTACCTCGATCTCGAGAGATCGTTGAATTCGATTCTTACACGAACGGAGTTTCAAACGTTTCTAACATTTTTATAAACAGCCGAATCTCTCCAATGCTACAACGTTCCCGAGAGTAATTAATTTTCAGACCTAGCAATGGAAATTTTCGCCTCGTACGAGAACCGAGTCTCGTTTCACCACTGCAGAAACGTTTATCTGGATCGCTTTCCTCCCTCTCTGGCCTCTGTTCACGGTTGACGAATTGTTTAACGTTTACCAAGCGACAGAAACTGCCCCATTATTTATTCTAGCGCGTGTTTGCACACGACAATACCGTTCTTCCTACAAAAGATGCCTCCTGCATGTGTATTATATCGAGCTGTGTTTGCAGAGGACCGGTAAAGGGTCCTGGTATCGCAATATCCGTCTTCATCCTTTCGAACCGTGGCCAGGGTACCCTGTTTCCCGTCGTCTTCGTGCAAGAATATCCCTGAATATTGCGCTATTTCATTTCCCTTCGGATTAATCAACTCCCGTGCGATTCATTCTTCCCTCTGACCAATTACTTATAATCATACATCGCTAATTATACGTTCCGCTACGTTTTCCTCTCACGATTTCCTTATTATTAACAGCGAGCCTTCCGAACTTCGTCGAACGATAAATATACAAACGTTACACGATCGCATATTTGTCGTTATATTTGTACACTGTGTACATTTTGTGTGTATACATTTTGTGTGTAAGAATCGGAAATTACCCCCGTGCTAATCTACGGCCCCCCATCTATGGCACAAATGCAATACAATTGCTACAACAACCGTATACTTCGATACTTTTTCTTTTTTTTTTTTTTATCTCTTTGAACTTCCCGATTTTTTATTTACCGATATCTACACGAAATAAACGTAATAAGGGTCCGGGATGCCGTTAAGCAACCCGTCGGACCCCGATCGTGCTCGTACCCTGCTCTACTTTTATAAATATAATCGACGATGTCACGAGGATACCGATGCAAAAAGTGTCCTAAAGGAGTGAACGAACTGTCCCTCGGCCAACGTACGTGCGAAGTCTTCTAGATTAAAATAAGTATCCCTTGCGACCGCTTTAGGTATTCTTCCACTCAGACGAGGGGAAGCTTTGGCTAAAAATAAGCCAGGTTTATCTTAATCAACGACCCTTCTTTACGCATGTTTGTCTCTCGATAAAGGGTTGAAGTGTTCCCTGAATCTGCCCCGACGTTTTTTAATCCCTTGTTGGCGGGCTCCGGATCTTCTTGCAAAACAAAATCACCTACAAAAATGCACAATTATTAGCCTTGGTTCGTTAGCTAGGAATTTATCTCATACTAACGTAGACCAACTACTTACTTACTCACTTTCAATCACTTTTTATGTTGTTGTATATTGTCGTGCAACACGCGGTGCTCGCACATTCCCATTTCTTGTGAATGATTAATAAATGCCGGGCTACTTATCGTTGCAAAACAATACTCGTCCGTCACGTTTCCACGATTAAAAGTTAGCCACGTGTTCCTGAAAAACGAACCACCGTCCACTAATCATTGCCAATTTCCAAGGAATCCTGCGGCACCTCTATGGCGACAACTTCCACTTTTCAGAAACTCTCGCTTCGGTCTCCTTTTTCCAGATCCTTCAATCCTTCCCAACCCTTTCTGTCCTCGCGAGAGGGTCCCTTTGACAGGACAAAGGGTGTGACCAAAAAAAAAAAAAAAAAGAAAAGGAAAGAAAAAAAGAACAAAAGAAGAAAGAGGGTAAATTCCAGCGCCCTCGACCCTCGAACGAGTGAATGGTGGAGGAAGGGCCACGCACATGTGTAGAATAAAGTGGACCGCATTGTCGAGGGAAATTGCCTTTGCAATCTTCAGGAGGCTGCTTCAACAACCTGCGTTTTGTCTGGGCCGTGGAAGGAACGAAAACAGATTCCCGTTGGCGACTTTTAAACCGCCCTGGCACCTTCATGGAAAATGACAATGTTATCTGAGAGTTGTCTCGATCGGCAACTTCAAGACGATGGACGTAATGATGGAAGAAGTTGGGGGAACAACGGCGCGAAAAGTTTGTAGAATAATGGCTGGAGAAATGAGTGAACAAATGGCGGGGAAAGTTAGTAGAATAATAAGAGAATAATAACGGGAAAAATGAGTAAGAAAATGGCGGATACCTACACATGGTAGCACTTGATTTTAATGATTAG